ACTAGATTTTTCTAAAGTATTTTATTCAGATAATTACTTCCAAAAATCTTGACATAAGCACTTTGTCCAGAGGCACACAGAAATCCTGATTGGGATGGGAGTCAAATCTAAACTCTAGTTTCTCATCCCTACTCCTTTTTGTTCAATGTACTGTTACCATCTTTTTAGTATTAGATTGACTAAAAAGGAACTGCAAATTCTTTTTTGATCCCATAACAGTGTCCTGTGTATTTGAAATGTCAGCTACATTTATGTCATTTATACAGTGATCTATACTTCATGCTATGCTTCAAAGACATCTCTAAGTTTCAAGTAGCACCAAAATGGAGATTAGCACTGTTGAGTAAGGATAGTTAGGTGCCTTTATAGTCGTCATTTTCATAATTCTGAAGAGCTATCAGTTGCTGGTAAGATGTTTGTTTCCACATCATTACACTAATGTGAAGATCAAGACCTTTGGTTTCACTTGAATATAGCTTTGAGCACTGGCTTGAATGTAGTGGAAGTGCAGCTGTTAGCAACAAAAATCTGTTTACTTCTTTTATTTCTGCATTACTTGGCTAAATCCCCTTTTCTCTGCTATCTAGTGTGTTATCCATACTAGTACCCTTTCTGCAGAGCATTAATCTGGATTCCTATATTCCATTGCTGTACCTTCTGTCCTCAGCTCATTAACTGCTGGCCTTCACTGGGCAGCAATGGCCTGGTATTGGTAACACTAAGCATAACATCTACATATTTTCTTAACCGTTTCCTTCTGCATTTTCACTTAAATGCAAGCTTTTCAAAATCAAGATTACTCAAAGGGATTGACAGTAAACTGCAGGATTAAGAAAGTTCAATCTAGAGATCTTAGGTGAAGTCTTGGCCCCAATGAAATTGTCCATTACTTCAATAAGTATATATTACTTCTGACTGGTGATGGAAAAAATAAGACCTGTGGTAGCTATAAATAACGCTTACATGAAGAAATGACCTTAATTATGCATGACCTACATTTCAGAGGCACATTCTTACCCTAATGCCAGCTAAAGTCATGAGATGGTAACAGCAACTGTTTCACATCTTTTGCCATTAGGTCTTGCAATTTTAAGTCCTGACTATTTATTTAGAGGGTAATTCTGGCATACAAGTTTGAAAACTTTCATGATTTACAGAATATAAACTGTTACTTGGTTTCTCACAGCCTAACTCAGACAAGTTAGAAGCAGGTAAAAGACCCTCTGCAAGTTGCTTTTCAAATGTGTTTATCATGCCTGAGTTGCTGAAACCTATAAATGGATAGCAGTTACTAAACTGATCCAGAAAAATTTCTGTCAGGGTGATTTATGGGTCCTTATAACATTAAGAGCCACTTGGCACCCTTCAGGATGAAGCATTATTTGGTTTTGGCTTCCCCTCTTCCCCCCCCCAGCCTTTTTTGTGTATTTCAACATGCATACAAAGGTACAGCAGAGAGTTGAGAAAGCTTTAGGCATAGGACATATGGCCAATGTTAGACATGAATTTTGATTGTAAAATGCGGCAGGTGGGGAAGAGAGACGTAGTTTTCTAATGAATACCAGCTGAATAAACCTAATAATTTGGGCAGAATTACTATGAGAAAGTAAATCATCCACTGCTGAACAGATTATTTAAAATGTACTTAGAAAACAAACCCAAGTATTTATTTTAAGTCAGGTGCTGATATTCACAGTAAAATGACAAATGTTCGGTACAATGATACCTTCTCATTTCCTCGGCAGCTTTAGTGATTTAGACTCAGTGAAAATGACATGGAGTATAAATGATCATACATTGCATGAATGCCTTTTATAAAAGTTTGCTAGTAAGAAATTACTGCCTTAGCATAAATGTATTGCTATAATGTGAGTAATGCTAACAGCACACCAGAGGCATGCTGCTCTATCAAAGAAAAGTTTGGACTTAAGCGCTGCTAGTGTACTTCTCTTCAATGATAAGTTGAAATTTTTGATGTAGGGAATGCAAGTTGATAAACAATCAGTGTTGTAGTTATGTGGGCTGGAATCATAAATTTCAACACTGTGCAGCACTTGGAAAAGAGAAACAAAAAAACCTTAGACAAATTGAATTAAAATTATTCACATGAACACCACAAAGGTAAGAATAGAAACTGTCAGAACCAGAGAGAACAGAAATCAGAGAAACAAACTTGTGTTTGGGACTTAAAGGGATAAGAGAAGTAGAAGACATTAAATCTCATGGTAACTATTAAGTCATTACTGGCAGTCAAGAGGTCAGTTGCCAAAAAAATCTTTTTTCAGAAAAAAATGACAGAACCATGAAAGGGTTGAGGTTGGAAGGGACCTCTGGAGGTCATCTGGTCCAGCCCTCTGCTCAGGCAAGACTACCTACAGCCAGTTGTCCAGACAGCTTTTAAATATCTCCAAGGACAGAGACTCTACAACCTCCTTGGGCAACCTGTGCCAGTGCTCAGCCACCCTCACAGTAAAACAGTGTTTCCTGATGTTCAGGGGGAACCTCCTGTGTTTCAGCCCATTGCCTTTTGTCCTGTCACTGGGCTCCACTGAAAAGCGCCTGGCTCCGTCCTTTTTGTACTCTCCCTTCAGGTATTTATATACATTAATAAGATGCCTGCTGAGCCTTCTCTTCTCCAGGCTGAACAGTCCCAGCTCTCTCAGCCTTTCCTTACAGGAGAGATGGTTCAGTCCCTTAATCACCTTCATGGCCCTTTGCTGGACTCTCTTCAGTACGTCCACATCTCTCTTGTACTGGGGAGCCCAGAACTGGACACAGTACTCCAGGTGTGGCCTCAGCAGTGCTGAGCAGAAGGGAAGGATCACCCCCCTCGACCTGCTGGCCCTACTGTCTGTAACAGAAAGCTACAGGATATATATTTGATGGCTTTCTAGCATTATGAAGATCATCAAGATCTATCAAGACAGAAATTGCAATTATACTAGGAAGGCATGCTATTTCCCTTACTGTTGATTCTATTTTTAAGAGAAGATATAAATTCAGTGAATGGTATAAGGTCAATAGGACTGAATGTGGTAGTTTCCATGGAGCAAAACTACAAGATATTAAGTAGGATTCTGAAGTCTTCTGACAAGTCTCCGCTGATGATGATACTGTTTGAAACAAATGACACAGTTTCATGTAGAATTCAAAGATTATAGGACACTTCAGGGATCTTGGAAGCAAACAGATGAGAATGAAACTTCAGCTGATTTTCTTTTGGTCTCATGAGCATAAAAATAAGTAAAAAAGAAAAGTTGGAAACAAAATGTTAAATAAATGACAAACGTGAAGCTGAAGGTTTGTTCAATGAAGTTTGTTTCATGCCTTATTCCACCATAGGAATAGGGGGAGTGAAAGAGAGTGTGTGTGCGTGTCTGTGTGAGAGAGAGAAACCTGAACCTAAAAATAGGATTGTCTGTGTCTTCCAAGTGCAGATGCACATTTGAAATTAAACTAGAAGAAATTGGAGAAATATAAACTTGCAACACAGTGGGAGGATGGTAATGAAGGTAAACATAGTATAAACATAGTATGAACTA